CTTGTTTAAGGCAGTGGAGAACTTGGAGAGGAGAATCACAAATGAGGTGATTTAAGATTTTAATGTTTATTAATTGCTCTGTATTAATAAATACGTTGAGCTCTTTTTGTGGATCAGTTGTAATATTTATATTACTAGAATCCACTTGGATTATATACCAATAGATTTGTTACTTTTACTATGTGTGTGTGTGTGTGTGTGTGAACTTCAGCATCCCGACTCCGGGTTTTCGTAGATCGACCCTCTAGAAATAACTCCGTCCACTCGTCAGCTTTATATATATGTGTGTGTGTGCGTGTGCGTGTGTGTGTGTGTTTTATAAACGATTATAAGGATGTTCCAATAACCTGTACCGATTTTAAATGTGAATTAAGAATTAAAATTGGTTGCAAGTTATTGGAGCACCATAGTGGTCTGTTTTTCTTTAAATTAAATTATTCGTTCTGGGTTAACATTGAGCTGTCAGGATTTCATCCTCCTTAGGATTATCCATACGGATTACTAATATTTTTCGTTATATATATATATATATATATATATATATATATATATATATATATATATATATATATATATATATATATATAAATTTATACATTCAAACGGGCACAGGTTCGATCCATACCAGGGATATATTTTCGTTACTAAGATTTCTCGAATACGTAGACCAACAGACGTAAGGCATAATACGTACGTAATACATCCTGTTTGATATCGGCTTGGAATAGCAGGTCAGACTGGGTTCTTTAGCCTTGGTTGCCAACCAGTCTACCGCAGAAAAAAATTGCAGCCTACAGCGGGGGGGGGGGATTTCATGTTAGTCATGTAACGAAAACGTGTATCACGTATGGCACTTAACTGGTTTAAAATACGAAGTATTCACTATAATAACGCTTAATAAATAAATAATAATAAGTTATTAATAAATAATAAGAAATAAGAAAGGAGATAGGAAATATCTAGACCTTGTCAAAAATTTAAAAAGTTGTCTGAGAGAAACACGTTCCTGAAATATATAAATAAAAATAGAGAGAATATGAGACATGAAGACCCCACCAATTCCAGTGGTAATGGGTACCCTCGGTTTGCTAAAGAGAGCAATGGACAAATACACCAATAGAATCCCTGCCAACATCGACACAAGAATTTCAAAAGATCCTCTTCCTCCTCAGCTCTGCTAACATATTAAAGAGGACTAAATCCATCAAATAAATCCATTACACCCTCATGAAATCCCCACGTTCTACAGATGGCGCTCCAAATTGGCCAAAACAGACAACAAACAAAGCCAAAACAAATCAACAGCATTTCTTCATTGGGTAATGTGTAACATTAAAGTCACAGACAAATACTATGAAAATCAGCCATCAACTTTAACAGAAAAAAATGACGACGATGATGCTACTATTCTATGGGACATGTCAAACCAAACTGATGAAGAAATTCAGGCAAAAGGACCTGCTATAGTAGGGAAGAACAAGAAAAAAAGAACTACCTGCCCCTTCCCTGCTGAAAGAAACATCTCCCTGAAAACTAGAGAAATCTAGAAATAGAGAGAATATGAAACATAAAGAGCCCAACAATTCCAGTGGTAATGAGTACCTTTGGTTTAATCAAGAGAGCAAGGGACAAATACGGCAACAGAATCCCTGATAACACCAAAGATGAAATATCCAAATGATCGTCTGACTCATTACATTTTTATGGAAGACTCTATCCATGAAATAAATTCAATCAAATTAAGGACATTAAGAAAAACAAAAATATGACAATAATAATAATAATAATAATAATAATAACTAGAAAAAGAATATCAGAAGGCGGATGCCTATATGATGGAAGGCGACCATAAAATAAAACTGAAAAAAAAAGGTTAAAAGCTGAAAACATATCTGGACCTTGTCAAAACTACAACAAAATCATTGAACATAAAAAATAATGATTGAGCCCAGTCTTATGACTGTCCATGGAATGACCCAAAACAGAATTCCAAAGACATTCAGAAAACTGGAAAATCAAGGAATAAGTCCAGATTACTGAAGACGATACTGGATTAGTAAAGAGACATTCTGTCACTTGGTCTCTAATGAAAGCCACCAGATAGCATTTGTAAGAAAACTCAATGAGTACAAAATAATAATAAAGAATACTGAGGAGAGTGCTGGAGTATTGAGGAGATTTACTGTCACTTGATCTCCAATGAAAGCCACCAGATACTATTTGTAAGAAAACTCAATGAGTACAAAATAATAATAAAGAATACTGAGGAGAGTGCTGGAGTATTGAGGAGACTTACTGTCACTTGATCTCCAAGGAAGCCACCAGATACCATTTGTAAGAAAACTCAATGAGTACAGAATCTCATCCTTTTCTTTCTTTATGTTTTTTTTAATACTTTTTACTTTACTTCTTTCTTTCTCAGTTTTTTTTCTTTCTTTCTTTTGAATATATACATACGCACGTCTGTCTGCTATTTTGCTTGCTTAACAAAATTGTCCCAATGACCGTCTATCTTTGTTTATTACCTCGACCATCACACACGTCTCTTCTTTTTCTCTCCTTTCCTTTTATGTTCACCTCTTTACTACTGTTATAACCCAGATTTTTTTTAATACAACGTGAGCTTTACTTTTCCGCCATATTTTCCCACCACAAATGGTACCTATTCTATTTGGTAGTACAATGTACTGTGTACGCTTCATTTAAATAAAATAAAACTCTGACATTTTACGATAAATATCCAAAGCGCAGTAAAAAAAAAAAAAAAATTCCGAACGACTGATTGATTCATTACATTTTTTTGTAACTATTTTTCAATAAGTTTCAATGACACTTCCACACAACAGCCTTACTTATTGAAAAATAGTTTAGTTTATATTACCAACGATTTTAACAATTTTATCTTAAAATTGTTAAAATCATTGGTAATATAAACTAAACTATAAGGCTGTTGTGTGGAAGTCTCATTGAAACTTATTGAAAAAATAGTTTAGTTTATATTACCAACGATTTTGATAATTTTAACTTAAAATTGTTAAAATCGTTGATAATATAAACTAAACAATATAGTTCAAAGTTTTATACCTTTTTAGAAATTATTTTTAATATTTAATTATAAATCGAATACTTTTTCTTTCGTTTATTAAAGTGTACAGAGTATGTGTCAGCAACGCATAAGGCATTCAAGTATATACTTCAAATTCTCAATTAATTTTCGGAAGAGAAATACCTTCACTACTATAGGTGGGTGCCGAAAAGCCCCACCCCATCACACACACAAAAATTCCGATATTCGGTCATTGAAATTACTGATTTTGGGGAAGTGGGTCAGACCGAGAAATATTTATCACCTTCACGTACAGGTGTTTTAAATACAGGGTAGAAGGTGTTAGGTTCTAGACTAAAGCGATGAAGAAAAAAAACGCAGTCGCGCATGCGCGAACGCGCGTGCACGTAAGAACACACAAACACACACACGCACGCACGCTCGCGAGCATATAAATCTAATGTCTGCTTATTTGATCACATTTTGGGAAGTGGGTCGGAATACACACACATGTACACATAAATCTAATGTTTGCTGATTTGATCACATATATATGTATGTGCATATATACATTACAGCGTGCGATGGATAAATTGTCGTCTAAATGCCGCAAAAATGTAAGTAATACTGACATCTCATTTTAACAGACATATTTACCAAAATTATACAAAAATATCTTGAAATACTAAAGAGTAAATTTATTCACTAGAATCGCCATTGGCTTCCACCACGGCCTCCAGATGACTTTGGAATCTTCTGGGCAGTTTCCTAGTTTAACTTGGTGAATGTTGCCGTAATTCTTGCCTTCAGTTCATCTTTGGTGTTACAAAGAGTTTTGTTGGTCACTCGCTCAACTGTACCCCATACATAATAATCAAGTCTGAGGAGTTAAGTGGCCAGATGTAAGGACTGATGTGGCCGTAGAAATTGTCTGACAGGCATGACAGAGTTCTCCTGCTTGTGTAGCATGGTGCAGAGTCCTGTTGCCAGACATAGGGTCTTCTAGTAGCCACTCTCTGGACCCAGGGTAGCACTCATTCCTCAAGGCACTTGATGTAGGCATCTATAATAAGCCTGGGGCCCTCATGAACAAATATGGTAGTCCTTTTCTTGAGTTTTCCGAGGTGCCATAGGTTAATAATCACCACTGGACTCATCAAACTCTTTCCAAATCCTCTGCACGTTCCTCGCCCAAACACTCTGAAATGTTCATATTGAAGCTCTCGGCGCGAATGACAATCAGTACTGCATACCTTTTCTTTGCTCATAAAAGAAATTGAAACTTTTCTAATTAAATACTGCCTTAGTTTTATTTTTTATTTTACGATTCAGAACAGATTTTCTGCAAATGGGGGACCTATTTTACAAAAAAAATAAAAGAAATGACATTTTAAATTCTCCAAGGACTTGTGGTTATATAAATATTAAGCCCTACAAAAAAAGAATTTCTCGGCGTTTCATAAAAGTATATACGTGGTGGTGGTGGTGGTGGGGGTAACATATATATATATATATATATATATATATATTGTTTGAATAAAAACAGACAACTTTAAGGTTCTATGTAATAAATTATTTCACCACAGCCCTTTTAAAGGGCTCTGGATCATCAGACTTTACTTCCAAAAGTTGAAATGAAAAACCTTACATTGAGCTCTCCGGATATCATCCTCGTTGGGCCAACCCATACGGATTACCGAGTTTTGCATAAAATATATATATATATATATATATATATATATATATATATATATATAGTTAGTATGCTCATTTTTTATTGAATTTTTTAAGAATATTTAAATCATATCACCCCAAAGAAGCTAATAAAATCCCTAAGAGGCAAGTGTTTATTGAGTGTGAAAGCTTATGAAAAAAAAAGAAAAGAAAAGCATTATTAGGGAGAGAGGCCAATAAAAGAACAGGAATTAAGAAGATAGATGACAAGTAACACTGCAGAAGATCAAAGTTAATTCGAAAGTAAGAAGGTAGAAAACAGTTTTACAAGTGAGAAGTGCGAGAGAACAAATTGTTAGCATAAAACTTTCTACTGTAAAATGATGAGACCTTGCTGCCAATCTAGTACTGCGGTTAAATTCATAAAGTCGATGTACCTTAGAGGATAGTTCATCAGAACAATTAACATGAAAGTATTTATAGAAAAAGGGACAGAGAACCAGTTACGGCCATGGGAAAGTGACTGAAGCCGAAATGCCAGGTTAGGACCGATAACGTTGCAGATTCTTCTTTGTATATTATAAGGAACATATAAATAAATAGCCGAAGTAGTAGAGCTTATGTGGCAGGAATATTAAATACATGAACGATTGGTAGTCTTATAAAACGTGAAAGCTATATTCTGTCGGGGAAAATAGCCCAGCACGACAAAGTAAATCAAATATATATATATATATGAATGACTGGATAAGAAACAGTAGATCTTAATCTAACATGGTTTACTTTATTAAAGCTTATCAGAGATCAAAACAGAAATGATAAAAATCAAAGAAACTCAGATTAATGGCATGTTTTGTTTGGTTATTTCTCGAAGTTGCAGCTCAATAACAAAGAAAAGATCATTGAAACAAGTCAAGCGTTTTTAAATAAAAATGCTAAAAAAAAATGCTTCCAGTGAATTTATAAAAGCTTACATTTACAAATCAAAGAAAGGGGCACCCCTTGGCGGTATAATGGTTAGCAACCTTGTCTCGCTAGCACAACTAAAATGAGTCGTGAGTTCGATCCTCAATGGGTGCACCATACTTTCGGTCTTGTGCCACATCTAAGCTACGCTTGGAAAATCACTATATTGGGCACCTCGAGGCGGTGTAATGGTTAACAAACTTGTCTCGCTAGAACAATTACAACTGAGTCGTGAGTTCGATCCACACTTGTTGCACCATACTTTCAGTCTTGTGCCACATCTAAGCTACGCTTGGAAAATCACTATATTGGGCACCTCGAGGCTGTGTAATGGTTAACAAACTTGTCTCGCTAGAACAATTACAACTGAGTCGTGAGTTCGATCCTCACTGGTTGCACCATACTTTCGGTCTTGTGCCACATCTAAGCTACGCTTGGAAAATGACTATATTGGGAACCTCGAGGCGGTGAAAATGGTTAACAAACTTGTCTTGTCTCGCTAGAACAATTACAACTGAGTCGTGAGTTCGATCCTCACTGGTTGCACCATACTTTCGGTCTTGTGCCACATCTAAGCTACGCTTGGAAAATCACTATATTGGGCACCTCGAGGCGGTGTAATGGTTAACAAACTTGTCTCGCTAGAACAATTACAACTGAGTCGTGAGTTCGATCCACACTGGGTGCCCCATACTTTCGGTCTTGTGCCACATCTAAGCTACGCTTGGAAAATCACTATATTGGGCACCTCGAGCCACATTTTTTAATGGTTAACAAACTTGTCTCGCTAGAACAATTACAACTGAGTCGTGAGTTCGATCCTCACTGGGTGCACCATACTTACGGTCCTGTGCCACATCTAAGCTACGCTTGGAAGATCACGATATTGGGCACCTTGAGGCGGTGTAATGGTTAACAAACTTGTCTCGCTAGAACAATTACAACTGAGTCGTGAGTTCGATCCTCACTGGTTGCACCATCCTTTCGGTCTTGTGCCACATCTAAGCTACGCTTGGAAAATCACTATATTGGGCACCTTGAGGCGGTGTAATGGTTAACAAACTTGTCGCGCTTGAACAATTACAACTGAGTCGTGAGTTCGATCCTCACTGGGTGCACCATACTTTCGGTCTTGTGCCACATCTAAGCTACGCTTGGAAAATCACTATTTGGGCACCTTGAGGCGGTGTAATGGTTAACAAACTTGTCTCGCTAGAACAATTACAACTGAGTCGTGAGTTCGATCCTCACTGGGTGCACCATACTTTTGGTCTTGTGCCACATCTAAGCTACGCTTGGAAAATCACTATATTGGGCACCTCGAGGCGGTGTAATGGTTAACAAACTTGTCTCGCTAGAACAATTACAACTGAGTCGTGAGTTCGATCCTCACTGGTTGCACCATACTTTCGGTCTTGTGCCACATCTAAGCTACGCTTGGAAAATCACTATATTGGGCACCTCAAGGCGGTGTAATGGTTAACAAACTTGTCTCGCTAGAACAATTACAACTGAGTCGTGAGTTCGATCCTCACTGGGTGCCCCATACTTTCGGTCTTGTGCCACATCTAAGCTACGCTTGGAAAATCGCTATTTGGGCACCTTGAGGCGGTGTAATGGTTAACAAACTTGTCTCGCTAGAACAATTACAACTGAGTCGTGAGTTCGATCCTCACTGGTTGCACCATACTTTCGGTCTTGTGCCACATCTAAGCTACGCTTGGAAAATCGCTACAAATCAATGAAAGAAAGAAAAAAAGAAAGAAAGAATGAACGAACAAAAGAAAGAACGAACGAACTAAAGAAAATCCCCGGGAAGAAGAGAGAAGTTATAGCAAGTTCGCTCCAGTTCCCACTCTGGCTCATAAAATTTAACTCTAATTGTAAGCCCTTGGTGACACAT